CAATATAGGCAAATAGATTCCACTAGTAAGTCATACTACACTACACTCGTATCTATTGGTGGTCAATATAGGCAAATAGATTCCACTAGTAAGTCATACTACACTACACTCGTATCTATTGGTGGTCAATATAGGCAAATAGATTCCAATAGTAAGTCATACTACACTACACTCGTATCTATAGGTGGTCAATAATAGATTAATTCTATGACTTGAAGTTTATTGGTAGTCAATCAAGAAGTCATTCGGAGTTCGCCTCCTTCGCAGACTACTCCATCGGAAACAGACATTTTTCTCTTCTTGGTCTTCCTGTGTTCATAATCTTGACCGAGAAGAACTGGTGAATTGATTTAAAACCTAGCAAAGATCTATGATGCGACATTAAAACTGAGACCTTTGCTAGTGTTGGGTTGCGATAAAGCGCTGATGACCTTTAACATCAGTTCTTTATATCTGATATAGAACTGATTAATAAAACATCAGTTCTATATAGCTCATGAGTTCTAGATAGAGTGTTAACAAAGCAAATGACTTGAACATATTCTTTTTAGACACCAGCTGGGACTTCGTCTGGATTGGTATGAACGATATCAATAAAGAGGGTACATTTGTCTGGTATGACGGCAGCCCTACTAAATATACGAACTGGGGCACGAATGAACCCAATGGTGGCACCAGAGAAAACTGTGTTCAGTTCTATRCACCATTTGGCGTCCACTGGGTTGATAATAGCTGCCAGGCGTCAGCGACCTTTGTTTGTAAGATTAACTGTCKTTTTTAGAGTGTTGAAATAAAGAGAGGTACTTGTTKCTTAAAGGTCCAGTATTACCCTGAAGGCTTTGCGACTGTTTTGTCTACATTCTTGCCTTTGTATGGTCGGTTTAGCCATACAAACATCAAAACTTGACTTGGCTTTGGTAATTTTTATTTCATGCGTCACTGAAAGCTCAGAGGACTTATTAAAGTTATTTTAATTGACATTTCAATAGCCTGAAATAGCCGTCAATAATAAAATTTCGTGTAACACGAGATAATGACGAGGCGCGCAAAGTATCCAGGGTAATATTTTCATGCGCATGCGCACGTGTATGRCCATGATGTAATAAAATGTGCTCACTTAAATAGTTAAGTTTTGTGATCTCTTTTACACAGTGTTAGCCTCAATTGTGTGTAAAATGTGCAGAAATTTAGCTGACACTGAATAAGTATAGTAGAGGATATTATATTGGCGCTCGGAGGTACGGATTTTATCTTCGAGTGTTGAAAAGATCTCTCACGAGTGAGCGTAGCGAAAATTGAGGGACTTTCAACACGAGAAGATAAAATTCGTATCTTCAAGCGACTATGTAATATTCTGTTTAGCAGCATACAATTATCAATGGAAGCAAATTATGTTTTAAAATACCTTTTATTTACCTCCAATATTATGGGCGTATCCAGGATTTGGGGGGGGGGGGGGATCTTACATATAAAATTGTCACTGTGACGTAATATGACGTCAACATGATGTCATATCAATCTATGGTTTTTACCCTTTTTTGGCTTTGAAAGGGGGGGTCACCGGCACCCTGTCTTCCTCCCCTGGATACACCCCTGATAATATATATGCGGAGTGTCTAAACGTCAGGCAGTCGATTTTTTTGGTGAAAAATCGTCGAAACAACTGTAATTTCACTTCGCGGATAATTCGAAATTTTACATTACGTCGTTATGGTAAATCATTGAGATCACTGGAAAGAGCGTCATAAAATCAGAAAGTTTGAAATTAATCTGATTTAAATTCAAAGAGATACGGCACTTCAAAAACACTAAATTTTGCATAGAAATGTTTGGCGAGGTTGTAACAAGTCAAGGTCAACCTCGATCTCATGCCGACAGCCATACATTTCTTTGTAAATTTTGCCGACTTTTAAACGCTGTATCTCCATCGAATCATGCTCAAACCTGGTAAGCATACTAATTTCACACTGTTCTTTCCAGTGGTGGTAATAGTTTTGCGATATTTGCTCAATTTCTAGCTGTGTTATCCGCGAAGTGGACTATTACTACAACAAGAGAAATGCAATAAAAACCGAAATAATACTGTTCGACAAGTTTGTATACACAAGCACGACACTTTTTTTTAGATAGATAAGTGAATGTACGTAGTATACATCGATACCATACTTCCATTGACAAAATTTTGTAGACAAAGTTTGWAATAAAAGAAATGTACTTACCGTCTAACTCAAGAATATCACTATTTAAAGCGTTTTAAACAATTATTGGTACCTTTTTTCCTTTGCATATATTAAATAATCGCTAGGGTTGTGGGGACATATCCAGGAAGGGGTAGGGAGAGGGAAGTTGGTGTCACGGTGCCCGTGACCTCTAATCGTTGCCAAAAATGGACCTCAATTTTAAACTTAGCAGTGTTTTTAGCATCATATAAGAAATGCATCCCCCTTGACCCCCTAAAGGCAATGTTTTGTGGAAATGGTTACAATGTGATCGTTTTGCGACTGTCCAAACAGCACAAGGAGCATCCAAGGTCACTAGCAACATTGCTCCAGGGAAGTATGGGGAGATAAGTACTGAGATACACGAATACAATTACAGATATTGTGAAAAAAGAACGCTACGGTCCATGGTATTTTGTCAATGATTGTCACTTTTAAAGACAAAAAAATCTAACCGTTTGTGCAGTGTGTGAGGATTTTTTTACGAATAAAAACCATGGATCGATATGTCGTCATAAT